CTTTCTTTCTTTCTTTCTTTCTTTCTTTCTTTCTTTCTTTCTTTCTTGTGGCTAGCCTCTTAAGTACTGTATTTTGAATTCTCAAAACAACTGTTATGTTGTTGAAATTAACATAATTATATTTTAGTAGCTGTTGAAACATCTTTAAGAGATAAAGCAGGATTCAAACTCAGTTCAAATGGGCTTCAAACAGGACTCAAAACAGAACCCAAGCATAGGCATACATGCAAATAAGACAGTCATATAGGTGAAACAAAATAAATGAATAAAACAGATCAATGAAACCATAATTAAACCAAGTTCTGCTGTAAGTATGTAATTAGCAGGGGGAAGGTTACATTAATAATATGTAAGGATAAGAACACGGTCAGTGACATCTTCCCTCCTTGCAGCTGTGGCCTCCAACAGAAAAAAAAATGCTTAAATGCAACAAGGACAAGTTTCTGTGCCCACGAGAAATGATAGCGCCTGTTTGGCTTCTTAAGAACCCCGTAGCCATGGGAATCTCATTGCTGCAGCTCCTGCCTCTGGAGCAGTCTGTGAGGTGAGTATAGCATAGCAGTTCCTCAGGGTCACTACCGATCAAGCGGGATAATGACGTAAAAAAAAAGAAAGCAGCCTGCCTGATGGTTGGAAGCCCTGCAGGCAGTGTGCAAATTACATACATGCCCTCACTCTAGGGCCAGTCCTAATAGAAAGCACACTGCAGAGTGAGTGAGTGGCTTCCAGAGGGGGTACTTGGGCTTCGAATGAAACCCAACAGAGGCCAGCGGAAATGTTTCACTTGGCCAAGCACATGCTAAGACATGCACCAGAAGAAAACAGTGGGCAATTAAACAAGGGGGATAGGCAACCCTTTCCCGCTGTTTCCAAAAAAGCAAGCGTGATGGGGAATCGGAAGCTGGCCTTGTTCATATTAGAAAAAGCATACTGAGCCTTCGAGAGGTCCCAAGAGCCTTCTGAGCTCAGGGGAGCTTGGGGCATCTTTGGGACAGATCATTCCATCTTGTTAAGACCTGAGCAGGAGTTGGAACTCTCAGCTAAGAATTTACTAAAGCCAAACTTTTAAGTGGGACAGTAGACACTCTTGTCTCACTTTGTCTTCTTGAAGAGGTAATGAGATGTCCTGACCTCCCCTGGCACTGCACCGATGTGGCGCACAGGCATCCGTGCAAACAAGACAGCCGTGCAGGTGAAGCAAAATAAGTGAATAAAATAGATCAATGAGACCATAAGTAAACCAAGTTCTTCTGTAAATATGTAATTAATTAGGGGGAAGATCACATTAATAATACGTAAAGATAAGAACAAGATAAATGATTGTGCTCACGGAGATGCACACGCTAACTGAGTGCTACTCCATCAGGATTAGTGTTACTGTCCCCCGAAAAGGCAGTGCTTACACAAGACGAAACCGCACACAGAAACTAAAGTCAGGCCGATTCATTTTACTGTTTCTCAGGCACAGTCATTGCTCCAGGCACCCTCCAGCCCCAATGTCTGTGGTACTGGAGGAAAAAGTCCTGCCATTCAAGACTGCTTTTTAAAGTAGGCTGATCTCACACATCCTCCCCACCGCTGGCCTGGACTGTTCTAGACTGACTTCTTGGCCTCTGCAGAGAGGCCACCTTTCAGCAAAGGGATTCTACGATTCTAGGAAAGTATTATGTGTATGTACTTGTATGCAAATTTCCAATCTCTGGAACCAAAATAGTTTACCCTTAGCCACTGTCCAGCATTCGAAATCACAGCGGAAGTCAGGGCAGTCTTCCAGGGGAGAAACACAGTGACCTTTCCTAGAAGTTTGCTAATGCACTGGGAGATAAGAGGTCTGTGAAGAACTGTGTCACTCTTCCAGTGACAGAGGCCTGTGTGGTGTCAGGTACTGTGTAGGGCCTGCTCCACAGAGGACAAGTAGTTCTGGGGACCAGTGAAGTATACCCAGATTTACACCAGATTCTCCCCATCAGGCTCAAACCTGACTCCTGCAAGGTCAATCCAAGGCCCTGCTTCATTCCTCTGAGTTCGGGAGCATGTGTGATATTTGGAGAAAGCCTTTCTCCTCACATCTGTCCACGTAGCTCTTGGGCAGGTGTAAGCTGCTGGCTTTTCGAGGGCCTATATCTGGTTGCTTGGTTTAAGATCTGTTGGTTTCTAGCAGAGAGAATGGCATGTGTCCATCAAGGTCACACCCAGAAAATCGACTCACCTATTGTAGCAGCACAGAGGAAATTGTATGCTGGAAGGGGCTCTCAGTTTAGTATATCTAGTTGACTGACAGCTATGGCTTGTGAGCCAATTTTCCATAGCCTCCATCCTTACGAATATTCTAATTGTTTCACATCACCAGTGAGTTCACAGCCAGTTCAGCTTGTTAGCAGGTAAATACATTTCAGCATACCAAACCATCCTGGATGCCTCTGAAGCACCCAGCGTGCCTGCTGGGTGATGCATTCAGTCAACTTTGCCAAGACAGCACATCTTGGTGGTCTGTCTTTAACTCCTGTCTCTCGAGACAGTTTTGTTTTGTTTTGAGACAGAGTCTCACTCTGCAGCCCTGACTAGCCTGGAACTCACAATGTAGACCAGGCTGACCTTGAACTATATTAAGGGTGTGCCTGGCTCCTGGGAGTTTTTAACAAATCCGGAACACTAGGAATGTGAAGTTGAAAAGAGCCCCTTATTTGATCTATTCTAAATTTTGGGATACTGGAATCTCCCCAACAATTTCCCCCAGTTAAGTTTTATTCTCTTTGGTTCTGTCTGGGTTATTCTCCTCTTCGAGTCCCTGTCTTTCTACCCATCTTTCCTGAAAATTCTTGAACAGAAAGAAAGAAAATTGCCTCTCACTATTTTGCCTCTCACTATTGAAAATGGGTTATGATAGCAATTATTCAGGTAGAGAAAGACCTGTAAATTTAATTAAAGAGGAGGGGGAAATCTTCCTCTTAGGTTCCTCGTTCTCTCTCTCTTACACACACATACACACACACACACACACACACAGACAGATAGACACACAACTATGCACACAAGAAGCAAGAAAATTAGGTTCAACCTCTTATCTGGCCCAAGGCTTCCCCAACACCCTCTTTCCAACCTGGGGCCCATACTCACTGTAGATGGTCTGATGGGGTGTGCCATCTATGTGGCCATCCTTATGGATCTGTAGGTGGTAGCTGTTCCTGGCTGTGGCCGTGTACAGGTGGGTCAGGCTTCCCCAGTTGGAGCTAAGCAGTGGGGAGGAGTCGGGGTAGGCTCTAACAGTGCCCAGGCTGCAGACACTGCACAGAGCACCCGCCAGCAGTCTGAGGCAGGTTCCCAGCATTGCACTGCTCTCTGAGTGGCTGGTGCTGAGTTTGAAATCTGACACTCCCAGAGAGGCCGGGACCTTGCTGGCCTTTCTTCTTCCTAGGAAGGAACTGAGAACTGAGGTAGGGATCCTGGGCTGGATTCCCTCCTTTTTTTCCCTGGGACTTTTAAAGGGTAGTGGAGTGACATCAAACAGGAAAAACAACGCTGCCACATCCTCTGTGTTGTAATCATTCATTGGAAGAAAAATCCCAGACTTCTTAGGCTTGCGGAAGGCATGTCAGTTCCAGGCACACACATACATACATGCACGCACACACACACCCCTCAATTTCAAGCCAGTGCTCCCAAAAGTGAACAACGCGTGGGCAAAAGTTATCTGTGACCCTGGGCCATCCGTTGACCTGTCCCACTTCCATCAGGAAATGTGAAGGCAGCCAGCAGTCCTAAAAAAAAAAAAAAAAAAAAAACAACTCAACGCCTCCTCAGCTACTCATCTCCCTTCAGTACACTCATTTTGTTTTGCTCAGGACTTTTTCCTCCAATTGCCAAGCATGTTCCCAGAGCTGGCATTAGGTAGGCATCATGATTGATACGGAAATGTGTGATGCCATCAGGTAAATGAGATCCCCCCCACATACACACCTCAGGAAGGGCGTGTTAGGTGGGAGCAAAAGCTCAATACTCCCCCTGCTCCCCATTACCAGTTGCAAAGGCTTCAAGACAAGAAGAAAGAAAACAAGGTCTTGAGGTCAGCAAAAATGGCAAGGTCTGGTTTCTCAGTTTCCCTCTTTTGGATGATGCAGGGAGCTGAACTGGCAATTCTGGCTTTGCCAATAGGAAGGAGACTCATTCGGAGGATTGGAATGGCACTGTTGGGCTGTGAGCAGAAGGGCCAGAGGGCAGGAAGCATCCAGGAGCTACGAGACAGGGCATCTCCACAGCCAGTGTCCACACGCTGAGATCTGGTTCTGTGAGTGGATGTCTCATTACAGAAACTGCTCTCTGCATGCTCTCTTCGGAGGTGCAACTAATGCAGGGCAGGGTGGTGGTGGTGGGATGGAGCGGGGCTAAAACTAACACATACATCCTATTGGACTGCAGGCTGCTATAATGGACATCAGAAATACATGGCCACACGGAGGGTGCTGCTCATCCAGAGTTGCAGTTTCCCGAGTCTCTACCATGGATGGGTATCCTACAAGCCAGACGTCAAAGATGAAAGAGTAAGATGGGATAAATGCAATAGAGGAAGCAGATAAAGGATGCACTGTTTGAGGCAAGCGGAAATGCCAATTCCACCTTCAGTCGGGTCCAGGCTTGTGGAGTTTTCAGTGTGTTTCTCCTCGGCTAATTCTTTGAACGTTACTGCACCTCTGTGTAAGACAGGCGCACCATGCTGTTAGTGTTTTTTAAGTATGTATTTATTATTAATTTACTTGTTTGTGAAGACAGGGACTCATTATGTAGCCGTGGCTGGCCTCAAACTCACAGAGATCTGCCTGCTTCTGTCTTCTGCCTGATTGCTGGGATTAAAGATGTGTTTGCCACAGCTGGCCTTTAAAAAAAATTAATGTGTGTGTGTGTGTGTGTGTGTGTGTGTGTGTGTGTTGCCATGTGTGGGGGTGTTCATGTGTGTATGTATGTGCAGTCAAGTAAAGGTCAGCAGACAACCTCATGGTTGCTCCCCAGGCACTCTCCACCTTATTTCTTGAGACCGGATCTCTGACTGGGATCTAGTATTTGTTTGCTAGCTAGGCTAGGCTGGCTGGCCAGCAAATCCCGGGGATCCTCTAGTTTTTTCTTCTCCAGCCCTGGAATTACAAGCTTGTAGGTGGGTCCTGGGCATCAGACTGCAGTCTTCATGCCGATGTGGCAGGTGCTTTGCCAACTGAGCCACCTCCCCAGCTTTACTAGATTAATGTTCGACATAGAGAAATGGAGAGCTGGGGTGTGCAGTTTCAAAGCCACCAAGTGAGACCTAGTAGAGCTAGAACAAAGTCTACTGATGCCCTAGGATGCTTCTCCAGGAAGAATCACAGCCACAACTAACGCTCACCGAGAGACCACGAGTCCACTCAATATCCTGTTTATTTTCACATGTACCCACTCAATATCCTGTTTATTTTCACGTGTACTAACTCATTTAATAACCCTCCAAAGAGACAGAGATTTCCTTTCTATACATAAGGAAACCATTGGGAAGGGTCTAAATAACTTGCCTAAATACAGGCAGCCATTGCACACGGAGACCAGGCTGGACTCTAGATCTCTTAAACTCTTTGAATGATGCATGAACTCCCACAAGCCATCAAAGCCAGACTTGTGTGACCTACCCCTTGGTGAGAAAGAGCAGGCAGCAAAGAGATGACTTTTTTATTAGTAAACCAAGATTTCTCCCTGGATATATCTTTAGGGAATATATGCTTGTCACTCCAAGGTTAGATAGAAGTTGCCTGATGTTAATTGTTTATTTCTGAGCCTTATTAAATGGACTATTAACTAACATTCAATATTTATCGGTTATAAGGGAGAGTTGTAGCCAACATGGGTAATCCCAGCATTTTGGAAATAGAGGCAGGGGAAGCAGAAGTTCAAGGTCATTATCAGCCATATAAGAAGTTTGAGGCAGGCCTGGGTTACCTGAGCCCCTGTATCCAAAACATAATAGATACTTCCAGCTCCTGGTGCTCTCAGACTTGGGATGCTTTTGGTGTTGGTTAGAAAAGCTTCAATTTGCAGTGAAATGCAAAGACTGATGCAGAAAAGTATCTGAGCAAAGCACCGACAATGAGAGACCGAGTGTTCAGTCCTAAACTGGACATCTATATTAACACCCACATGCACCGAGGCACAGAGGAAACCACAGAGGAAAAGGAGGAGAAAGGGTGAGAGCTGGAGGATGGGGAGGAACACTGTGAGATGCTTACGTCTAGACCAGACACCACTCTTGCTCTCACAAACTCAGAGCAACTGTAGCTGCCTGCACAAGGTCAAACCAACCAACCCCCTTACCCTCCCACCATAGAGGAAATAGAAGATTTCCAGGCTTCACTCTTTACTGAGGAGCTGTTAGTTGCTGGGGGAAGGAGAGACATTCTTTTTTTTTCTTTTTCTTTTTCTGTGGATGTAGTCACTGGTAGGTTTCCCATGTTCCAGTGGATGGTCCCACACCCATACTCCCATGGGCAACAGTGATTGGACTTGGTGGATATTCAAGAGAAAAGATAAGGTATTAAGTTGGGAGGCTGTATACTGAGAGCTATTTGGAGAGCTGAGGGGGTTGATGAGGTAGATAATGATCAAAGCCTGTTATATATACATCTATGAAATTATCAAAAATAAAGAAAAAATTAAAAACAAAAAAACCACCACCGACAATACCAGCAGCCGCAAAGTAGTCTATAAATATAGTGGAATACTTTAGCTAATGAAAGGAATAACTTGGCTCTCAGGCTGAAAAGCAAATTTCTCAGAAACATTTGCTAATTGGTAACCCCACATTTCCTCTTCTGGTTAAGAATGGCAAAGGGCTGGAAAGTTCCCAAAAGCCAGTCCATGGCTTCCAAGAATCTTCTCTGAGAAGAGAGGTGAGAAGGAGGGTGTTTTAGGAATAAAGAACAGAACAAATATTCTTCCAGGCTGCCAATACCACCGAGAAGGGCTTTGCTCACTTCCAGGCTCTGTAGAAGGGCCAAATTAGTAAGATGTAAGAAATGTTAAGGGCATTCACAGAGGCAAGGCCACCAGGGGGAAAATGCAGCCCTCCAGCTTTGAAGGAAAGGGAGAGTTGAATAAGTTTTGCCAGAATGACAGAAAAGTTTGAACCCACCAGCTGGGTTCTTGGAGAGACTGTTGTGACAACCCTCTGGACCTTTCCTCTTGTCTTAGGAGGAAATATGAGCCTTGGGAGCAGCCCTTCAGGCATGTTGGTTTTGAGTCCTTGCATCTAGAGGGCACTGCACTGTCACAGTTCAGAATCCGAGAACTGGTGTGAGCTTCTGACTTCAAAGTGAAGCTTGCAGACACCAGATGTGAGGGAACTTTGGTGTTGTAGTGGATGCCTGGATGTGGCAGAAAAGTCAGTCCTGTGTCTACCCTGTCCTGGAAGCCCTGGGCCTGGCCTCAGGAGCATTTGCTGGGGAGCTGTATGGCGGCCTTTGTTGTAGTCCCTGCCATTATACTCACAGATCCAGGCTTCAAATGTGGATAGAGACAAAGAGGCTGTCTTCAGTTTTCTTTTTTCTCATCAATCATGATTATTAGAAATACTGTTAACATTAAACTTAAAACAGTTTATTTTTATTTTAAATGTGGTATAAGTACCTGGATCTTTGTATGTGTAACACATGCATGTAGGTGTCTGTGGAGGCCAAAGAGGGTGTCATATACCTTGGATTTCAAGTTCCAGGCAGCTTTGAGCTGCCTAACATGGACCCTGGGCACTGAACCAGGATCCTCTGAAAGAGCAGCAAGTGTTCTTAAAGGTTGAGCCATCTTTCCAGCCTGACATGAGACATTTTTTAAGGGAATTAAAGAAATAGTAAACAAACAACTCACTTCTGCTGTTCTAGCCAGCTATTCTAGTCAGCTCTAAAGGCACAGATTTTTAGCTGTAAATGGTTAAAAAAGAATTCCAAAGCTACCACAGCCCCAAGAACAGCAGAGAACTACCAGCCACAATTAAACTGCCAAGATAGTTTAATACAGAATGGCTCTGAATGACCTCATGTGAGCCCAGGTAATTCAAAAGATAAAGAGTTACAAATATCTTATGAAAAAAAAAAAAAAAAAAAAAAAAAAACCTCTATCAAAACTATTTAAAATATTTAAATGCAGAAATCTCAGTTTTCCTGCCAGGTCAGAAACCATCACACACAAGAATCATAGCCACAGTCACAAACAAAATGAGGGGAATGTTTGTGTTTAGGCCAAACAAAAATACTCTGTGTTAGAAATAGTCCCTGTTCCCCTTACTAGGGAAACCCACTTGGTTATTGAGCTACCATGGGCCAC